GGAAATCTTTTTAATCAAGGGGAAAAAGGATACAATAATGACGAGGAAGAGCAAAATCAAATCGAGGTTGATGAGCCAAATAAAATTCTTGAACATGACACAAATAATATGGATACAAACAAGAAAATTCATTCTTTTGATCTGAACGAGAAACCTGAGGATGATGAATAGAAAATATTAAAAAGAACGGAAGATTATAATTAATAAAAAAGAAAATTATTTTAAAAACCTAGTTTTTAGTCGATAAACAAGAATAAATATTTTTTATTAAATAAAAAATATTCAAATCTATTGATCTGACATTGGGGGGAAACCCAAGAAAATTAGATGAAAGCATAAGTGAGATGGGGGAATATGGGTTTAATTTTGAGGTGAAGGGACGGCTGGGTGAGGTCCGTGATGGAATTTAATAAAGTTTAAAGGTATTAGTCCCCATCTATCTTCTTTTCCATCAACGGCTCGATTCCTTTACATTTCTTCGGAACCATCAAATTCTCCACACGGCCAGATGGAACAATATGCACACGAGAGTTGATGCTGGGCGTTGATTCAAATTTACATACGGCATTCCATACGGAACCAAATTTCTCCCGCAGAGTAAATAGCTATAAACTTGACGAAGAAAGCGAGTAAGCAGTCGAGTACTTTCAAGTATTATAAATACTAAGATGCAGAGACAGAATATATATATATAAATCTATATATATAAAAATCTATATCTATATATATAAAAATCTATATATATATAAAAATCTTATAACTCCCATCTTAACGCTATACACAATAGGCAACACACCATTACACAATAATTGCCTAAAAATCGACTCCCTAAATAACTTTTAAAGAGTATCGTCAATCAGTATCTAAAGATAATTTATTTTTTCTAAACTTTACGAAATCTTACAAAATACAAATTAAATATTCTTTCTTCTTTTTGCTTGATTAAGTAATTTGATTTTTTCAACTTTGCACTTTCCTTTCAATGAATTTAATTTGTTTTTATATTTAAAATGTAAAATGAAAGTGCAATTGACCTTTAAAATTTCGTAATCTGCTATGTGATATCTCGAATCCAACTTTTCTTCCTCTTTTATACATCCACTCTATCAATTTTATAACAAAACTTAATTTATAAGATGTCTTTAACTATGAGAAAATAAAGAAAAAAACTAGGAAAAATATGAAGATTTACTACCAAGAAAATAAGGAAAGAATACGGAAAAATCAGAAAATGTATTATCAAAATAATAAGGAAAAGCGTAATGAATACAAACGAAAATACCGACTTAAAAAGAAAAATGTTCAATCTAATAATAATGAAGGAACTTCATCTGTTAATCCACAGACCGGTGATTTTGTGAATAAAGGTAAATACCAATTGATTGTGAGGAACCAGGAAATCTTTCTAATCAAGTGGATTCATTTTTTTGATATGAACGAAAAACCTGAGGATGAAGAATGACAAGATATTAAAGAACGGATGATTATATTTAAAAAGATGATTATATTTAAAAAGATGATTATATTTAAAAAACTTAGTTTATAGTCGATAAACAAGCATAATTATTTTTTATTAATACGTCAAAAAAATAAAAAAAATATCTTAATTTTCAAAGCAAATCAAATCTGCAATTACATTCGCATTCCTCTCCTTTTTCTATAAAACTGTAATCTTATGCAAATTTGTTGCCGAGACAGGGAGGAACGTATCACGGTCAAAAGCAGGCTCGAAAAACAATTATAAATACGCAAAACGAAAAAACAACACAGGTCAAAAATCAACGCAAAAACAAAAAATTGAAAAAAAATTTGGATAAATTAATAGCCAATTTTCAATTAAAAATTGAAGTATCACTAAATGTCAGCGAGTTCTACTCGATTTTTTATTTATATAAGTACATAACGTTTGATGGATATGATTTGGAATGATATCGGAGATAAAACGGATTATAAAGGTACCTCATGCTCTAGTAGGAAATTGAATTAAAAAACTCTTTTAAACATTTTATTCAAATCTTTCTTTTTTGTGCTTAATTATTAGGTAATTTGTTTTTTCTGCTATGCACTTTCCTTTCAATGAATTTTTTTGTTTTGATATGTTGATAGGCTGTCCTTTCAGATTTCGTAACCTGTCTGATTCTATATCTAAATTACCCTTTTATACATTCCCACAAATTTACATTTAAATAAATTAAATTTTATTATTTTTCGTTAATTATTAAATAAATTTTAAAATTTGTTTAGGATGAAAATTGATAATTTTTTAATTGTTTTTATCTTCTATTGGTTATTATGGACTTTTGTTAAAACTGTTTCTATTCGAAAAAGTTTAGCTAAACATGCTGTAAAGGATTACACGTCAACAGATCTGACTAAATTATTAAATGATGGGGCTGAATCGTCAGTAAATCCTCAAAAATATAAAGAAATGTTAAAACCAAAATTAAAAATTACAAAGGAGACAGATAAAGAAGGAGACAAAGTGGATGATAAAAGTGAATACATGAAAAAATATATGAAAATTTACCGTCAAAACAATAAAGAAAGGTTGAATGAAAATAACCGAAATTATTATGAAAAAAATAAAGACAAGGTGCTTGAACGTCAACGGAAATACCGAGAACACAATAAGGAAAAGATAAATGAAAATAAGAAAAATTACTATAAAAGGAATAGAAGCGAAAGAATTCAATGTCGGAAAAGTTATTACCAAAAAAATAGGGAGACGGAATTGAATAAACAGAAAATATATCAACAGAATAATAAAGAAAAGCGTAATGAATACAAACGAAAATACCGACTGAAAAAGAAAAAGATTCAATCTGATAATAATGAAGGAACTTCATCTGTTAATCCACAGACCGTTGATTCTGTTAATAAAGGTAAATTACCAATTGTCTGCGATGAAGAAGGAAATCTTTTTAATCAAGCGGAGGAAGAATGTAATAGATGTGAGGATGAGCCTAATCGAAGCAAAGTAGAAGAGCTAAATAAAATTTCTGGGGATGACATTAATAATATAGAATTAAATAAGAAAATTCATCCATTTGATCTGAACGAGAAACCTGAGGATGAAGAATAAGAGGATTATTAAAAAGAACGGAAGATTATGAATAAAATGAAGATTATACATGATAAAAAGATTAATTTGGATTCCTTAGAATCTTTGAGTTCGGATCCTATAAGCAGTTGTTGTGACATCTGTTATTTTAATGATATTAATTTTATGTATTTATAATTATTATGAATTGAATTAAATTTTGAAAATTCATTTAAGGGTTCTAACTCTAATCTTGATAATTAAACCATATAGAACATTATGAGACTCGCTTACAATCTATAATGAGGAGAAAAAGCAAAATCAGATCGAGGTAGGAGAGACAAAGAAAATTCTTGATGATGACTCAAATAATAAAGATTTAAATAATAAAGATAAAATTTATCCTTTTGATTTGAACAAGAAACCGGAGGATGAAGAATAGGAGGATTATTAAAAGACGGAAGATTATAATTACAAAATGATTTTATTTGAAAAACATAGTTTTTAGTCGATAAACAAGCATAAATTTTTTATAAATATTCAAAAAATATTCATATATTTTGGATTGCAACCTTGATTTTTGAAGCGAATAAAATCGGAAATTACAATTGCAGTTACACTCCCGTTACTTCGTTTCCCTGTCAATTTCCAGTTGTCCTTCTTCTTTAATCAATTGTTCATAAGTAATAGATGTTTGGATCATCAAACAATTAAAATTGGGTTTTCAGAGCTTCACTCTCGCAGAGTCATTGCTTTATAGAATCCTTTTTTTGCTTTTTCAAAGTTGGACATTTTGATAAATTATTGTTGAATTTTTTACCAACTTATTGGGGGCTCGCAACAGAAACTTATGCTTATTTTAGCTGCTGTCAGCATGTCTGGCATACTCCGCAGCAGCAAAACCTGCACGTAGGCCAAAGGTAAGGAGCTTGAACAAATGCTCATAACTTTGTAAAATCAATTCAGATTTTGTTAATTTTGTTGTTATTCGACTCAGCTTGGGGAGCTCTTTCAAACGAGCTTTCATTTATAAAATTGAATTTTTCACCCCAAAAATCAGCTACTCCCCCCTTTGGTTTTTCGATTTTCGGGGACTATATCTCGGCACATACTACTAGATTAAAGTGTAATTTAAAGCTGAATAATAATAAGATCGTTGATTTTACAAATTACTTGATTTTACAATTTTTTTACTTGTATGTGTGTATCATAATGATCATTCATTTCTAATTAGCTGCGATACACAAGGAAGCCGTTGAAGCATTATGCTGCTGATCAGGCGAACAAACGTTCACTCAATATTTTTATCAATTTTTAGGTTTCCTATAATTGCTTGATTGTTGAGAAATTAACTTTTAAGACTTTGCACTTTAGGATAAAAAATTTTTTCTTTAACTTCCTCTCTCTCACAACAAGAATTGCTTTTAAACAAAAAATCGTAAAAAATTGAAATCTCTTCGAATTTTTCTTTTTTATGTTTAGTTATTATGTAATTTGTTTTTCCGAATTTGCACTTTCCTTTCAATGAATTTTTATTCGACTTGATAATTAAAAACGTAAATAACGTTTTCCTTTCAAATTTCGTAATCTGTCTGTTTCTCTAGCTTTATTGCCCTTTTAGATATCCTCGCAAATTTACATTTAAATAAATTAAATTTTATTATTTTCCGTTAATTATTAAATAAATTTTAAAATTTATTTAGGATGAAGATTAATAATTTTTTAATTGTTTTTATCTTCAATTGGTTATTATGGACTTTTGTTAAAACTGTTTCTATTCGAAAAAGTTTAGCTAAACATGCTGTAAAGGATTACACGTCAAAGGAGCTGACTAAAATATTAAATGATGGGGCTGAATCGTCTGTCAATCCTCAAAAGCAAAAATATAAAGAAATGTTAAAACCAAAATTAAAAAATAAGAGAAAGGACACAGATAATGAAGAGGGCAAATTGTTTAATAAAAGTGAATATCATAAAGAATATTACCTAAAAAATAAAGAAAGGTTGAATGAAAATAAGCGAAATTATTATGAGAAAAATAAAGACAGGTTGCTTGAACGTCAACGGAAATACCGAGAACACAATAAGGAAAAGATAAATGAAACTAAGAAAAATTACTATAAAAGGAATAGAAGCGAAAGAATTCAACATCAGAAGAGTTACTACCAAAAAAATAGGGAGACGGAATTGCAAAAAATGAAAATATATCAACAGAATAATAAAGAAAAGCGTAATGAATACAAACGGAAATGGCGACAAAAAAAGAAAAACGTTCAATCTAATAATAATGAAGGAACTTCATCTGTTAATCCACAGACCGGTGATTCTGTTAATAAAGGTAAATTACCAATTGTTTGCGAGGAGAGTTTTGAGGATTGGAATTTTTTTAATCAAGAGGATGAAGAATGCAATAATTGTGATGATGAGCAAAATCAAATCGAGGTAGAAGAGCCAAATAAAATTCTTGGGGATGACACAAATAATAAAGAATTAAATAAGAAAATTTATTCATTTGATTTCAACGAGAAACAAGAAGATGAAGAATAGGAGGATTATTAAAAAGAACGGAAGATTATGACAAAATGAAGATTATATTTACATGATAAAAACCCTAGTTTTTAGTCGATAAAAAAATAAATCTTTTTTTATTAATATGTAAAAAAATATCCAAAAAACACTTTTACTGAATTAAATTTGAAATTACAATCGTAAGTACACTCATTTTTCTAGACTATAACTAGGAGTTAAGCTGTAATTAAAATCTGAGAATCGTTGATTTTAGAATTTAGCATTACAACTGAGCCTAAGAGACTGAACGAGAGACCTTAGACTCCCGTCAATGCTCTTGTCAATGCTCTATCTTCTTTTCTTTTCCTGTATCCCTCATCTACTATTGATCTCTGTTTGTATAAACCTGTGAATTCATAATGATCATTCATTTCTAATGAAACTGCAAACCACACGGATCCATTAAATATAAAAAAAAAACAAAAATTTAAAGAAACGTTAGCAAAAGAGGGCATAGATTTTAATATTCAAGGAAAAAATGCATTTAACAGAAGTGAATATAATAAAGAATATCGCCAGAAAAATAAAGAAAAGTTGAATGAGTATAGTCGATATCACTATGAGAATAAAGAATATTTTAGAAATTACCGGAAACAAAATAAAGAAAAGTTAAATAATATGAAGAGTCAATCTTCGAAAAATTACTACATACAAAATAGAGAAAAGATTTTAGAAAACAAGAAAATTTATTATCAAAATAATAAAGCAAAGCGGAACGAATACAAACGAAAATACCGACAAAAAAAGAAAAATTCACTTGTTAATCCACAGACTGTTAATTTTAATAGGAAAGAAAAAATGCCAATTGTTCATGAGGAGGAAGGGACCCTTTGAGATTTCGTTATTTTTCTGTCTGTTATTTCGACTCTCTATCTTTATTGCCCTTTTATACATTTAATATATCAATAATAATATCTATTTCAAAACATAATTTACATGCTCTTGCTCACAAATTTCCGTTTATATAAATTCGATTTTAAATTAAAAATTGTTAATTGTTTTTATTAGCGGTGAGGAAAGGATCACGCTTGATATTAAATAAATTTATAAATTTGTTTAAAATGAAATTTGCTAGTTATTTGGTTGTCTTAATCTTCAATTTGATTTTCTGCACATTTGTTAAGAACGTTTCTATTCGAAAAAGTTTAGCTAAACGTGTTGAAAAGGATTATACGGGAACGAAAATATTAAATGATGGGGCTGAATCGTCGTATAATCCTCAAAATCAAAAATATAAAGAAACGTTAAAACCAAAACTAAATAATACAAAGGAAACAGATAGAGGAGACAAATTGTTTAATAAAAATGAATATGATAGGGAATATTACCGAAAAAATAAAGAAAGGTTGCTTGAAAATAAGCGAAATTACTATGAAAAGAATAAAGACAAGGAACTTGAACGTAGACGATTACCAGAAACAAAATAAAGAAAAGGTAAAAGAAACTCAGCGAAATTACTATAAAAGAAATAAAATCGAAAGAATTCAATATCAGAAGAGTTACTACCAAAAAATACTCAGACTATACAGGAATATCAGAAGATATATCACCAAAATAATAAAGAAAAACGGAAAGAAAACATGCGAAAATCCAGACAGAAAAAGAGAAATGATCAATCTAATAATAATGAAGGAACTTCATCTTTTAATCCACAGACCGGTGATGTTATTCTTAAAGGTAAATTACCAATTGTTTGCGAGGAGGGAGGAAATCTTCTTAATCAAGGGGAGAAAGAATGCAATAATTGTGAGGATGAGCAAAATCAAATTGAGATAAAAGAGACAAATAACGTTCTTGAAGATGACACAAATTCTATGCAAACGAATAAGAAAATGCATCCATTTGATTTGAACGAGAAACATGTGGATGAAGAATAAAAAATTATTAAAAAGAACGGAAGATTTGATTGAAAATGAAAGTTATATATTTAAAAAAACCTAGTTTTTAGTCGATAAACAAGAATAAATTTTTTACATTAATATGTTAAAAAATATCCAAAAATACTTTCATTTTTAAATTTGAAATTACATCGCATTTCCACTCCTTTTCTAGACACACTATCACAATGAATATATACATCATCTATTTTTCTGTTTGGGATAAACTTGTACGAGTTTATTCATAATGATCATTCATTTAAAATCTTTTTGTGCTTAATTATTAGGGAATTTGATTTAATTATCAATTGTTAATTCAGTGCACAACGTTTTAAATCAGCTAAAGTATTTCTGCATTTTTATTTTCCACGATTTAGGCGTTCCTTCATCATATCTGCTGTATTTTGGCTATTGAATAAACTTTAAAAAATAAAATATAAACGCTTACGGATTTAACACACTTACAAATTTACCTTTGGGCACTTCGCGGGTATTCAAAGGGAAGCACCGCTTTATATTTTCCTGAATTTTTAACAAATTTTACTATAAAAATTAAAATTATTACCTTTATTTGATTCCAGAATCTACAGCGCGAGTCGATTGGCGCAAGTTTTTTTCCGTAGAAATCTATGCTATGTTTTACTACCACCTGCCTTTTATTGCAACCCTATAAATTTAAAGCAAATTTATTTTAAAAAATGACAAATCCTCCGATCAAGGACTATACCACATCACAAAGTTTGCAGCTCCAAACACATTCCTCAAGATGTTCATAGCTATGTTGTACAAAGTTATTGCACAACACTTTTCTACATACCCTACACATAACAAGTTCGTCCTTCATCACATTCAAGAGAATTCCACCCCGATATATCGAGTGATCATAGCCCTAATCCTCATTGCTTCCCTTTTTATCTGCCCCAATCTTTTCCTAAAGTAAACGTTTAGTTATATTTTAAAATTAAAGGTACTTCTTGCCAAACGGCTTCCTTAAATTCCTACTTTTGTTCCCCATTTATAAATGAATATAAAATTATATTAGCTAAAAATTCAAATAAAACGTTTAAATTTTGAGTAAATTTAAATTTTGATAAAATTCTGCCTTTGACATTTCAATTTCTTTCAATTATTTATTTTGAAAGGTCAACGGAATTTTTAAGTTTTTGATTAATTATTGTGTAATTGCTTTTTTCGAATTGCACTTTCCTTTCAATGAATTTACTTGTTTTTATATTTATAAATGTAAAAATGTTTAAGATTTCGTAAATTTCCTGTCTGTTAATTCGACTCTCTATCTTTTTTGCCCTTTTATACATTTACTATATCAACAACAATATCAATTTCAAAACATAATTTACATCCTGTTCCCCACAAATTTTCGTTTATATAAATTCGATTTTAAATTAAAAATTGTTATTTGTTTTTAACTAGCGCAGAAGAAAGGAACGTGTTTTTAATTAAATAAATTTTACAATTTGTTTATAATGAAATTTGCTAGTTTTTTGGTTGTCTTAATCTTCAATTTTTTAATTAAATAAATTTTATAAATTGTTTAGAATGAAGCTTGCTTGTTTGTTAATTTTTCCCATTTTCAATGCGATTTTATGGTTATCTGATAAAACTTCTTCAACTCGGAAAGGATTAGCTGCTGAACTGGATTATACGGCAACTAAAACATTAAATGATGGGGCTGAATCCTCGGTACATCCTCAAAAACAAAAATTTAAAGAAACGTTAGCAAAAGAGGGCATGGATTGTAATATTCACGGAAACAATGCAATTAATAGAAGTGAATATAATAAAGAATATCGCCAGAAAAATAAAGAAAAGTTGAATGAGTATAGTCGATATCACTATGAGAAGAATAAAGAATATTTTAGAAATTACCGGAAACAAAATAAAGAAAAGTTAAATAATATGAAGAGTCAATCTTCGAAAAATTACTACCAACAAAATAGAGAAAAGATTTTAGAAAACAAAATTTATTATCAAAATAATAAAGCAAAGCGGAACGAATACAAACGAAAATACCGACAAAAAAAGAAGAATTCACTTATTAATCCACAGACTGTTAATTTTAATAGGAAAGAAAAAATGCCAGTTGTTTGCGAAGAGGATGGAAATCTTTTTAATCAAGGGGAGAAAGAATACAATAATGGCGAGGAAGAGCAAAATCAAATCGAGGTTGATGAGCCAAATAAAATTCTTGCAGATGACAGAAATAATATGGATACAAACAAGAAAATTCATTCTTTTGATCTGAACGAGAAACCTGAGAATGAAGAATAGAAAATATTAAAAAGAACGGAAGATTATAATTAATAAAAAAGAAAATTATTTTAAAAAACCTAGTTTTTAGTCGATAAACAAGAATAAATATTTTTTATTAAATAAAAAATATTCAAATCTATTGATCTAACATTGGGGGGAAACCCAAGAAAATTAGATGAAGGCATAAGTGAGATGGGGAATATGGGTTTAATTTTGAGGTGAAGGGACGGGTGGGTGAGGTCCGTGATTGAATTTAATAAATTTTAACGCTATTGGTGCATCTATCTTCTTTTCCATCAACGGCCCGATTCTTTTAAATTTCTTCGGAACCATGAAATTCTCCACACGGCCAGATGGAACAATACGCACACGAGAGTTGATGCTGGGGCGTTAAACCTAATTCCCATACGGCATTCCATACGGAACCAAATTTCTCCCGCAGAGTAAAAATCTAAAGATAATTTATTTATAAACTTTACTAAATCTTACAAAATACAAATTAAATATTCTTTCTTCTTTTTGCTTAATTAAGTAATTTTTATTTTTTCAACCTTGCACTTTCCTTTCAAGGAATTTTACTTGTTTTTATATTTTAAATGTAAAAATGATAGTGTAATTGACCATTAAAATTTCGTAATCTGCTATGTGATATCTCGACTCCAACTTTTCTTCCTCTTTTATACATCTACTCTATCAATTTTATTACAAATCTTAATTTCCTAGATGTTTTATAGCCTTAGCATTCTCTTATAAATTAATTAATTTTAAATTGAATTTTATTATTTTTCGTTAAAATTTTCATAAATAATTTTTTAAATAAATTTGATAATATTGTTAGGGATGAAATTTGCTCGTTTTTTATTAGTTTTAATCTTCATTGCGATATTATGGCCATTTGTTAAAACTGTTTCTATTCGAAAAAGTTTAGCTAGACGTGCTGAAAAGGATAACACGGCAAAGAATAAAAAAATAAATGATAGTGCTGAATCGTCGGTTAATCCTCAAATTGAAAAATATAAAGAAACATTAACAAAAAACGACACAATTAAAAATAATGAAGAAAACAAAGTGTTTACCAAAAGTGTACAGAATAAAGAATATTACCAAAAAAAATAAAGAAAGGTTGGTTGAGAAAATTCGAAAATACCGAAAACAAAATAAAGAAATGCTAAACGAAAGAAAGCGAAATTATTATAAAAAAAATAAGGAAAGTTTAAAAAATAAGGAAAAAATTAGTCAAAATAATAAAAACTATTACCTAAAAAATAAGGAAAGTATTCGTGAAAGCCAGAAAATTTATCAACAAAATAATAGAGGAAAAATGAATGAATATCAGCGAAAGTACCGACAAAAAAAGAAAAACGTTCAATCTGAAAATAATGAAGGAACTTCTTTTGTTAATCCACAGACTGGTGATTTTGCTAATAAAGGTAAATTACCAATTGTTTGCGAGGAGAGTTTTAGCATTAATGGCGAGGATAAGCAAAATGAAATCGAGGTAGAAGAGCCTAATAAAATAATTGAGCATATACAAATACGAATGATGCAGATTCAAATGCGAGAATTTATCCTTTTGATCTGAACAGAAACCTGAGGATGGAAATTGAAAAGATAAATGAAGAGTTCAAGTCCAAGTCCCGATAACGAAAAAATCATAAGATTCGCTTTTCTTATACATATTTTCCTAAAAACAATTTATTTATAATAATCATTCGTTCCACACAATATTTATTTTTTAATATATAATGATAAATTTCAATTTTTTGAAAGCTTTTAAAAGCTACAGAAAATCAAAAAAAATTTATTACTAAAATAAGGTAAATGTCCAGTTGACTCCCTACATGTCCGCAAAGAGAATGCTCACTTTTCCTTCCTTTCTTTGCATTTTTGGCGTTAGGAAAAATGCCCGCTTAAAGTAAAAATTCTTGCTCATTTTTCTCGCCTCTTTGACATAAGAAAGGAAGGGGAGAAAATAAAGATTAATTAAACTACTGTATATAGCGATGAATGGGGTGCAAACCAGGGATGTTGTGTCGGGTTTCGGATCGGGGTTCTGTTCGAAAAAAGACCTGGTATCGGTTCGGGTCAGTCAAAAAATTTAATTCAGTGGGCGAAAATTTTACTTTATTTTTCCATTATTTAGCGTCGAACATAGGATCATCTGCTTTTAGAAAAATTATCCTTTAGTTTTGATCAATTAGGGTATGCTGCAGGGGTGTGCCGTTTCGTCTTTCGTCTTTCGCCTTATTTTCGTCTTTTTTGGTGTTTCGTCTTTCGCCTTTCGTCTTTCGCTTTTTAAAATGACTTTCGCCTTTTCGCCTTTCGTCTTTCGCTTTTTTGGGCGAAAGGCGAAAATATTATACACCCCTAATGATGGTATGTGAGGAAAAGTTGGTAATTGGAAGAAGAAAAGAAAGAGAAAAACTAAGGACAAGTGTTTTCTTTTAACTGAATAAAGTGATTGATGGTTGAGTGGTAAGTTGTTAGACTTCGACTAGCGACCATTTTATTATTGTTAGGTTCGGACCAAATTTAGGGACAAGATTTTTATTTACATATTATGAATAGAATAATTATAATTTTTCTATGAAATTAGAGCGATTTGGGGGTGAGCGATTTGGGGGTGAGCGATCTGGGGGTGAGCGATCTGGGGGGAGGTTACTACTTAAGTAGCTTAACTATTTCTTGCATTGTTTCAAAACTGTATTTCCCATTTGTTGGGTCTCTATTTGGAGATCCTAGATTATCAGGGCAGCTATCATCCCCGCTTACATCCTCGTAATCATTGTCGCTATCAAGAATTTTTCCTAACCACAAAATTAGGAAAAATCCGCACATATCGAAACCCTGCTCTTGATGCTAAATAAATTTTAAAATTTGTTTAGAATGAGACTTGCTAGTTTTTTGGTTGTTTTAATCTTCAATTGGTTGTTATGGACTTTTGTTAAAATTAGTGTTAGGCACTTCTCTCTTCTTATATCTTTATCTAATATTGTATTTCTGTTTGGGATAAACTTGTACGTGTGTATTCATAATGATCAATCATTTCTAATTAAACTGCAATCCAACGGAAGCCATTGAAGCGATGTATTTGACCTCAAAACTAATTTATGCCACGGATCAGCAAACGTTCACTCAATTCTTTCATCAATCTTTTAAGTTTCCGTTAAATTGCTTGTTGTTAAGTAATTTACTTTTTAAAATTTCGCACTTTAATATGAAAGCGTGTTGACGCAGAAGACACACAGACAGAAGACCCAAGGACAAAAAACCCACAGACAGAAGACCCACGATCAAAAGACCCACAACCATTTTTCTTATTTTTATTCAATTGTGCTTTCATATTGGCTCCTTACCTATGGTCTCCGTGGAAGTTTTGCTGTTGAGGAGGATGCCAGGCATGCCAATCACAGCGATATTTGGAATAGGATTAAGTTACGAGCCCAGAACCCAGCGACCGTTGATTCCCTGCGAGACGCGTGCCGCAAAACCCCGCGCGAAGCGCGGGGTTTTGCACAAGCGTCTCGCCGACGTCCCATAGGTTTATGTTGTTTGATTTTTGTATCGTAACTTTGTCCAATCTTGTTCTTTTAAACTTTTATTAAAAATTTTTCCTTGTGGGTCTTTTGTCCGTGGGTCTTCTGCCTGTGGGTCTTCTGTCCTTGGGTCTTCTGTCTGTGGGTCTTCTGTCACTACGCCGTATGAAAGAATTTACCTTAACTTTCACTCTTCATAACTAGAGTTCTTTTTAAACAGAAAACTTACAAATTGAAATCTCTCTCACAAATATTTATTCGAATCTTTCTTTTTTGCGCTTAATTATTAGGTAATTTGTTTTCTCGGATTTGCACTTTCATTACAATAAATTTTCATTTAATTTGATACTTTAAAACGAAAGGACGACTGCACTTTGACATTTCATAATATGTCTATCTTTCCGATATCTTTATTCTTTAGAAGGTTTCAAAATTGGAAAAGTTAGTTTAATCAGACTGGTTCTTCAGATTTTTTGTTGTTGCCGTTATAATGGTATTATAGTAATGGTGATTAACAAAATAGCGGGGGATTATGGAGAATATCATGGGATTCGGAGGGAGCAAGTAATGGAATAATTGCAAGGAGGCGCAAAATAAATCGAGGTAGAAGAGCCAGATAAAATCCTTCTCACGGCTTTGCACTTTAATTTCAATAAATTTTTATTCATTTTGATTCGCTAAACGTAGTCCTTTGAGATTTAGAAATCTTTTCCAATTTTAACTACGAAAATACAAATCAGATATTCTTTCTTCTTTTTGTTTATCTATTAAGTTTTTTCAACATCGTAATTTCCTTTTAATGAATTTTATTATTTTTTATGTTTTAAACGGAAGCTGAAAGTGCAATTGTCCTTTAAAATTACGTAATCTGCTATGTGATATCACGACCAGGGCTGGACGCAATTGAGAAATATTTTCCGCAGCACGACTATTTTCTTCCCCTTTTATACATCTACTATATCAATTTTATTACAAAACAAGATAGTAGCCTTAGCAATAGCCTTAGCAATCTTATTTAAATAAATTAATTTTAAATTGAATTTTATTATTACCCCTTAAATTCTTCGGATATACTTTAGCCGGTGGCCCACTCAGAAACGGGTCAAAATATATACCATTCGATTCGTCTCGGCGAGCTGAGTCGAATGGTACCATTCTTTTTTTGCGGAAATTCCCACGAGCCGAGATATAGGTACTTAAAAATCGAAAAACCATAGGGGGGACCAAGCACTTTTTTGGAGTGAAAAATTCGAATATGCAAATAATAGTTCATTCGAAAGAGCTCTTCGAGCTGAGTCGATTGACACCAAAATCAGCGAAATCCGACTTGATTGGACCGAGATATAGACTTCTGAAAACTGTTAATCCAAAAGGGTGATTTTTGGAATTAAAAATTTTTTAACCATATTATAACTCATTTGAAAGAGCTCGACAAGCTGAGTCGAATGACACCAAAATCACCGGGATTAAACAAGTTTAGACAAAGTTACAACACAAAAAACTAGCAAAATAAACCTATGGGGCGTCGGCGAGGCGCTTGTGCAAAACTCCGCGCTTCGCGCGGAGTTTTGCGGCACGCGCCTCGCGGGGAGTCTACGGGCGCTGGGTCTGGGCTCGTAACATAAACCTATTCCTATCTCCCTTGCTCTGGACGTATTTGGGGCCTCCGTAGCAGCAAAAATCTCCACAGATGCCATAGGTAAGGAGCTAAAACAAATGGGCATAACTTTGTCAAATCAAGTCGGATTTCGTTGATTTTGGTGTCAATCGACTCAGCTCGACGAGCTCTTTCGAATGAGCTATTATTTGCATATTCGAATTTTTCACTCCAAAAAAGTGCTTGGTCCCCCCTATGGTTTTTCGATTTTTAAGTAACTATATCTCGGCTCGTAGGAATTTCCGCAAAAAAAGAATGGTACCATTCGACTCAGCTCGCCGAGACGAATCGAATGGTATATATTTTGACCCATTTCTGAGTGGGCCACCGGCTAAAGTACAGCCAATTCTTCTTAAATAAATTTTAGAATTTTGCTAAAGATGAAATTTGCTTGTCTTTTAATAGTTTTAATCTTTATTGAGATATTATCGGTATTTGTTGAGACTGTTTCTATTCGGAAAAGTTTAACTAGACGGGCTGAAAAGGATTACACAGGAAAGAATGTATTAAATAATGGGGCTGAATCGTCGGTTAATCCTCAAATTCAAAAATATATAGAAGACAAATACCCAGAATTAAAAGATGCAAAAAAGGACACAGATAATGAAGGGTACAAATTTTTCAACAAAAGTGAATATCATAAAGAATATTACCAAAAGAATAAAGAAAGAATTTTTGAAAATAAACGAAATTACCGAAAACAAAATAAGGAAAAGTTAAAAGAATATAAGCAAAATTACTATAAATTTCATGAAAGTAAGTTGAAAAATGATAGTAAAACTTACTACCAGAAAAATAGGGAGACTTTACTGGAAAAACAGAAAAAATATCAACAAAATAATAAAGAAAAGCGGAAAGAATACATGCGAGAATACAAGCAGAAAAAGAAAAATGTTCAATCTGATAATAATGAAGGAACTTCATTTGCTAATCCACAGACTGGTGATTTTATTAATAAAGGTAAATT